GTAAGTAGATCAATAATCCAGTTGAGAAAATGATACAAATTGTATTTCATGTATTAAGAAATTGGGCTGTTGAACAAACTATAATATATTCTCACAATTATTCAATAACTTGATCTATTTCGATTGGAGATTCATGTTAATTCAATCACTGACTCTCTGTATTTCTGATTCTGCCGAAAAGTACTTTTCTCTATACTAAAACTACGTAATGCTTTTCATCTACAAACTTCATGTACTAATCGAATCAGCATCAGCAGGAGATGACAAAAATCGATGGTCTAAAGATTTTTTTCATGGGAAAATATTTGATGGTAAAAAGCATATTGAAGTTTTAAAGAAGAGAAAAGTAATTTTCAGAGGAACGGATCTGAAGCTCTATTACTACCAACGAGATGCTGGTACTCAAATTAGTATAATATTTGGTTGATTGAATCCAATAACCAAATTCAAACAAGAGGGAATGATTTTGATTTGTAACTTAATTTCATTTGGTTCATAATTATTCATACTTATTTTGAACTTTCGAAATGATTTACTCTATCAGCAAGATACTCAAAATGAGGTATAAACATTGTTCTACTACTACTAACTACTATTCATTATTTGTTCAACAAAATCATTACTTCAGTGGAAATTTTCCCATTATCAAAACAAGCATAGTTCTCCATTATTCTGCAGATATGTTATGTTTCTTCAACATAACTTTTACTCAAATAAAAAATACATTTGTTTATTTCAATCAGTTCCACTATTTTACCCATCTTTAAATTTTGTTTGTTTAATAGAATATTCGAATTACTCTAAATCATTTTCGCTATCAATTAGACAAAATATTACTTGAATTCAATTCTTTTTTAAATTGAAATAACTGTTGGATGTGATATTTTCAATCAAATATTTGTTTGATACAATGAACATATGCTTGAAGAAATAGTTCGGAGTCAAGAATTCTTTTTTCTTGCATCAACAAAATATTTTGTCGTGCATATATGACACTTTTATTTCTTTGAATGAAGTGAATTTTCTTTCATTCAACAAATCTTTTTTTTCCGTGTAGTCTCTAAAACTCCGCGATTGTAATTCCGGTAAAACCGTAAGTGACCGAAAAGTAAAAAATGTGTAAATACTCTATCTTCGCATACCTTTCAACTATACCAAATTTCATTTTGATACAACTGATAGTCTAGTCTAGAAGTTATGACTTATCTAATAGATTCGCTGACACCCGGTATAGAAGCAGGGTGGTCCAATCATGCTCATCAAGGGGTGTTCAAATAATACCCGAAGTTTGTCAATCAATTTTTCATAGTTGTCGAGTTATTGATTTTTCAATATTGTTTCGAAAGTTCTTAGTTCTTACCCGCAGATAGTTTTTCGTTGGTTTTTCTTCATATATCATAATTCATATGAATAGTTCTTTGTACTACAAGATGATCAGTACTCTCATATAAACACGAGTAAACATTTTGATCAGAAGTGACAAATTTACGTTCGATTAAAACAGAGTTGAATGTTTTATAGTATACTAGTTATTGTCCGCGGCTTCGCCCGCGTAGAATTTGGTTTGTCAAACTGAGTTTCGTGACAGACCATTTCAAACAAATATTTACAATATTTTTTATCAACCCAAAAGTTCAGGTTTCCAACTTCAAAACTGACGAAATTCAATACAATCTTTGAACCCCTATTTTCCCCTTGAGGGTGGAAATTCGTGATTCCCTTCCTTGATACTTATTTCCTTGATACAAAGAACCTACCTGCATATTTCAAGATTTTACACGTTGCGTCTTATAGTAGACGCAACGCGTAATGGATCATTGTGTTGCGTCAAGTTAATCTTATCGTGATAACTTTTAAAGGAGTCGTCCAAATTGCTTAGTGTAAAAAACAAGGTTTATGTATATTAAATACTTAAAATGACAATTGTATCAATTTTTATATTGATTTGACAGATATTCTTAATGTGCATTGTAAAAATATATAAAATTTAATTGTATTTATGTATTGTATTTTGCATGTAGTGGCTACCACATAAGAGGTGGAAATCCATCGCGGATTTTTATTTAGAACTATTTAAGATGAACAATATTACGGTACATTATCTGCATGTAACTCCAACGGTATAAGCAGCGCACGCCAAGATAGCTCTCAGGGAGCAAACATTTTCCCGACTTACTTAACACTTATCCTTATATTATGATCA